CAGCTGAGGACTCTAGAATCATCCACTAAGAAGAGAAGGACTAAGAGCTGGTGGCCAGGAGCAGACTTGCAGAATGTGCCCTTTGGAGATGTAATTTATTGTATATGCCTGAGTGGGTTTTTTTGTTTGTTTGTTTTTTTAAAAAAGCTAAAGTGGATAAAGAGAAATACTTTTTTTTTTTTTAAGAACCCTATCTAATCCTCACTGTTGTACCCCCACAATTTAGCATAGTGCTAGCAGAGAGAGAGGTGGTTGCAGGTTGCATGGGTGACTAAATCTGTGTACATGCCCCCATCAAGCAGCAACACTCCTGGGCCTATTTTGAGAAATGGTAGTGGAACTCTGCGACAGACATTTATCACATTCAACAGATACTTGCTTTGGAATACATAGCATGTATTGGAGGCAAGTGTCAGATTGTTCATTCCATGTCTTCTCCCACAGTTGCTTTTGATCATAGAAGTAAACATGCCTCTTGTCAGCTGAGACAAGACTCAGAGCTCACCCAAGTATCAATGGGGACTTAAATTTTCAAATGGGATATGAATTTAACATCAGAGAGTAGAAGGTCAGTGCAAGAAACAGTGTGCTGTGCTAGCTCCAACCATATAAGTCTTAAACAAAATTAATATAAGGAAATTGACACGCCTTGCTGGTTATTCCATAGCTTTTTAAGACCCCTACTAAAATCGTATCATCTCATCTGCCCATTATTAACATTTTAGCAAAATATAAAATTTTCATTAATCTCCTATAGCAAATTTAGGAGTGAAAACTGGCACTTGTTGGAGCTTTTAGGACTACATTAGCTGGTGTATTAAACAAAATAGGTCATTCTTCAGTAGCTTCTATAAGAAGCTAAATCAATTTCCAGCCATATTTATGCACCACTTTATCTAAAAGCATCTGAATTATCATTTATAGCTAAGATGCTTTATTAGCAGCTGGCATTGAAATTGCTCGGTAAAAAATTATATGTCACGTTATAGTAATTTTTAAATTGGTTTTAATCCAACATCATAAAATGTAAAAATCTTTAGTGTGGGTTTTTTCTTTTTTGTAATTGACATTTTAGCATAATGAGCTGTTATCTCTTTCCAAATCAAATACCTGCAATATTTAGAAAATACTCATTAGCAAAGAAAACATTTTCTTGAGTTCATAGCTAAACTGTAGTTAATCATGGCATTTTCTCAGAAAAGATGACGTTAAATGATTTTGAAAATTGTAAGGGATTTTAATATTTTATCAAATTCTCCATAATTCTCATGTATAAAAGGTTATAAAAGAAAAATAAACATTTTGGCAGCTACGTTTTGGTAAAAACAGATCGAGGAAGTGAATGATTGTTCTAAACTCTAAATCCTAGCTAGCTTCCTACTTTAGATTATGGCCATTACTTGTGTGGTCAACATCGTGGCATCGCTCCTTAAAACACACGAGCTCCAAGGAAAGGAAACAGAGTTTACCTGGGACCCTTATAGACCTTGAGTGCAACTCTGCTCCATGCTAGCAGTGTGAGGGTGGTTAAATTATGCCCTGTCTGAGCCTCCCTTTCCTGTGGACAATAGCACCTGGTATTCATCCAGTAAATTTTTATTCACCTCCTGCCTGATTCTGTACATAGTAGCACTAGCAGGGTCTGGGCCAGAATGGTGAGTAAAGCAGTCACTTTCCCTGCTGTCTTGGGGGTTACATTCTAGAGGGAAAAACAGATATTTACTGCGGTGAAGGAAAAATGCAAGCTATAGTTAGAGGGGGATAACAGAAGGACCTGAAATAAATTTGGAGGCTTAGCTTCACTGAGTCTTTCTTGGAATATTTTTTGCACTAAGCTCTTCAGAAGGAATAGGGAGGAAGCCGGATGGAATAGACATAGAGAGAAGAGAAAGTTCTTCCAGAGTGCCTCTACTGTAGACATTCAGTGAAAAACCAATTAAGAGTGAGGCTGCATCCTAACTGAGGGAAATGTATTATTGTAGGTGCTAAGATGGTTCAAGTTGGGAATTTTAGTGTTTGGAAATAGAATACACAATTCCTCAGAAATGAGTTAAACCAAAATTGACTTAAAATCTTGTCCTGTAAGCAATAACTGGGGGAAGGAAAAATAGTAAAAGTGTTAGACTTCCAGTTATATGACAGAATTTCCTAATTTTATACCCAAATCTAAAATTTTCTATTCCTCCAGTTCTGCCCCCAAGGAGCTCTCTGAGCTTCCCTGTGCAGCTGTCTCTGGGTACTCAACACCCTAGAGGACTAGGGTATCCTTCTCTTGTTAGTCTCTGCTAAACAAGTACTTTTTTTCTGGTTGAACGCATCCATCCTCTCTCTTCCTTTCCCTCTCCCATCAGCAAATGGCATCAGCTGCTCACCTTCCAAAGGCTACATTTCAAATGCTGTGGGCCGAGAGAGAGTTTATCTTTCCTAATGGGCCTTGTTGTTGCTAAATGCTGACAAGTTGGTTCCAACTCATGGTGACCCTGTATAGATTTCTGAGGAGTGGCTGGTGGGTTTGAACCTTGAGGTTATCAGTCCAGTGATTATCCTACAGCACCACACCAGTGGACCTTGGGTGGTGGTAGTTATGTGCCATGGAGTTGGTTTCGACTCATAGTGACCCTGTACAGGGTTTCTGAGGCTGTAAATCATTACAGGAGCAGAAAGCCTCATCTTTCTCCCATGGAACCGCTTGTAGTTTCAAACTGCTGACCTTGTGGTTCACAGCTGGATTCATAACCACTATGCTACCAGAGCTCCTTTGGACCTCCCAAAATCTCAGATTCCTCATCTGTATAATATGAATATTACACACTCATACATTATTGTTGTTAAGTATCGTCGAGTCAGTTCTGACCCATTGCAACCCTGTATAGTGTTTCCATGGCTTTAAATCTTCGAGGGAGCAGAAAGCCTTGTCGTTCTTCCAGAGTGAATGGCAGGCTCAAACCACGAACCTTGTAGTTCTCAGTCCAGTTAGCTATTAATCAATCATATGTTATTTGTTTAGCAAAATTTACTGAAAGAATTTCAGTTGCCAGATATCATAACTGCTTGCAGAAGAGAGAGAGATAAATACAAAACTTCATTGGTTTTCATAGAGCTTTCAAATTAGGACAAAACAATCACTAAACTACTCGAGTAAGACGGAATGCATTCCTCTACAATAGAATAAAAATAATCATGGTCACTATGTATTGTATATTAGCATCTTTTGTGGAGGTATTAGATTCTGTACATACATTTTGACATTCTGTCGATAAAAAAACTTGGGTTCAGAGAGGTAAAGTCACTTGCCCAATATTACAGAGTAAGTAACAAAGTTGGGAGTTAAACCTAGGTCTACATGGCCCTCAAGTCCACTGCTATGGGAATTCATTGTCAACCAGTGCCATCTGAAAAGATTTCTTGGAGAAGGTAGGGTTTGAGATGTTTGGTGGAATTTTGACATGTCCAGGGTAAAAATGGAAGCGGGTATTCTAGGTCAAGCATACTATGTGAACTAAGCATAGAAGTGGAAAAACTTGGACCTGTATACAGTCTGAAGAATTCGGGAGGAGCCAAGGGGTATGTGTGAGAAGTGACAAATAAGTCTGAAAAAATGTATTTCAGTTAGCAAGAAGCTGCCTTGGAAAAAAAAAAGGGGGGTGCTGCTTCTGGGGGGCCTCAGGAAGGCAGGGAAGATTTTGATCACCTGTCTTTTTGTATGTCTCCAAAATCACGTCCCTGGGCTTTTAGCATGGAGCTCTGGTAGCGTAGTGGTTACAAATCAGGCTGCAAACCTTAAGGTCAGCAGTTCAAAACTACCAGCCGCTCCGTGGGAGAAAGATGAGGCTTTCTGCTCCCATAAAGATTTATAGCCTCGGAAACCCTGTACGGGGTCGCTATGGGTCGGAACCGACTCGACGGCACACAACAATAAATCTTTCACTAAACATTTGATGGGAGTCCTGGTGTGGCACTGTGGGATAAAGCACTAGACTGCAAGGTCAGCTTGACCCACAAGGTCAACAGTTCAAACTCACCAGCCATTCTTTGGAAACCCTATATAGGGTCACTGTGTGTCGGAACCGACTCAACAGCACTTTTAACAACAACAACGAACATTTGATGAGTGGGTGTATGATCCAAACTTTAGAAGGATGGGTTTCAGAGAGAGCCTGGTGTCTGGGCAGCCACTGAGAAGACTGTCACAGCCATCCAAGCATGAGAAGACAAGGCTCAAGCCTGAACCAACATGGATGCTGTGGGATGCAGGACAGGAAACTATTAACTAGACAGCTTGGAACCTTGGAAAAGAAAACAATTCTGCCAGGAACATGTATTACTTTTATGATCAGAAAATAAGTATTTGAAAAAGAAACTAGACATGTGACTACTCACACTCTTGTGATTTCAACTTTAATATTGTGTAGACCAGGAGCTTCTGGTGACTGCCCAGCCAAGAGTCTGCCGTAAAATAAGCAGTGTTTGTACAATTAAATATTGAATGATTAATATGTTACCATTCTGTTTACTGGAATGGCATTACTAAGTAGTAACTGTGCCTTTTCTTCTCCAAATTAAATAACCCATATTATTTTAATATATCTCAAAGCATTTTAAGCAGACACCATTTGCCAAGCCTCATGTATCTTTATATATTAAAATGCTTTTTTTCTCCCCAGGTTCAAGGGCAGACGGGACTTTTGAGGAGGATTCACAAATTGACATAGCTACAGTACAGGATATGCTTAGCAGTCACCATTACAAGTCATTCAAAGTCAGCATGATTCACAGACTACGATTCACAACTGATGTACAGTTAGGTAAGTCGGGGAACAGATGATGAACAAAACTCCCTATATCAATAGTCAACATAGAAATAGGGGGAAAAACAGCATACAACTTTTGTGTGATCTGAATGACTAAAAGTAATTTGTTTTCACAGAAAATGTTTAGACAATGAAATTTGAAGTACATCCTTTTTTCCACCTTTGTGATCTCTCTTTTCTACTTTTTTATGAAGCAGAAGATTGGCAGTAGAATCAAAGATTCCTTTCAAACTGATTGACTTCTGAGAAGTTCCAATAATTCTTTCATTCTGTAATTCTCTTAGGTGCTGTCCTTAGCACCACTTTTTAAAATTGTCATTTGCCTTTTCTTCCCCATGGCTTATTCATTCATGGCTTTACACACCCAACTTTTTAGTGATCTCTCAGGGGTTGTATTTGAATCCTCCACCAGATACTCTGGAACTCATTTTTTTTCAATTAATATTAGGAGTTAATTTGTTCCCATTAAATGCTGCATTGTTGTTTTGACTTAAACCTAACAGGAGGAATATAGTAACCAGCATGACATTAATACAGTATTGTTAACATCATAATAAAGGATGTTTATGAGGGTCAGTATGAATGGAAATCCTCTCCAAGGCAGTTGAGTTTGGTGGGGTTTTGTTTTTGTTTTCTTGGCCATGGATTAATTACTGTGTTTAGTGCTATACAACTGTGCTGAATGCCATTTAACTACCCAAAGGGTAGGCATTTTTACTGTCCCATTTAGCAGAGACGTTAAATGAGGTCCAAACAGGTGACATAGGAAGCTCACACATAGCCCAAGCTGACACAGCAGGTAGGTGATAGTGGTGTCAGGAACAGAGCCCTGGCCTGACTTACTCGAGTACACCTGCTCTGAGCCCTGACGTACCCTTTAATAAAGGTGGCAGGGATTGGGGAGAGATGGGCAAGGATTCCAGCTGGCCCAGTCAAGAAACTGTACCCTGGTTCTGCCATACTGCCCCCTTCTGGGTCTCATTTGTCTAGTCTCTGAAGGTGGAAAATTTTAATTCTAACTCTAAGACACATTAATTATACATTTCTCATAAATGCTTTGTATGTGTCTCACAATAAAATATTTTCTAATGTTGGCATTAGTATGAATATGGCTTGGAGCAGGGATAAAACTGTATTTCATTTATATAACTGTTTACCATATTCTGGCTTTTGTCATTTTAGGATTTTATCCCATGAGACAGAAAGACCAAACACCCAAGTCCTATAACTATCAGGGGCAGACAATAAGGAAAGTTCAAATGAAAAGGAGCAAACTGACTAGGCTGGTTAATTATTTTAACTAAAATAACAGAGTAAGAGCCTATTTGCACTTTCCATGATGCATATAAAAAACAACCCATGTACTCTTTGCAGAGTGTTTATAGCCCCATTTGTGGCATTCAGGTCAGGCTCTTCTGGGAAAGGTTATCCGCAGATACTTGCATCTAAAAGTGATACAACTGATTAATGGTAGAGCCACAATGTAAACAAGTTGGTTCACCACTACTGGGCAAACAATGCCATTGAAGATAATATCTTTAATTTGCCAGATTCCACACCCCAAAGAACCTTCTAAAGATACATCCTACCCACCACCACACTGCCTGAATATGGCTGATTTTAAATTAACCTCAAATATTCCTTCCCAACAAGACCTGACAGGAATTTGAAATATGCTGAAAGTACAACTTAGTAAATAAATAAGAGTAAGCTCTTGGATTCCCAACTTGTTTACCTTTTGGCTCTACCATTAACCAGTTGTATCATTTTAGGTAAGTGTCTTAATTATCTGAGGCTCAATTCCATTCTGTATAAGGGGGGAATATCAGTACTGTTGGTTTACTAGGATTGCTGTGGGGAAATAAGGCACTACATGTAAAGCACTCAGTAAAGGGTCTGTCCACTGGTAAGCATTTGGTAGGAGAGAAGCAGTATAAGATAGCTCATAAAAGATGGTCTCAGGAGTCATAAACCTAAGCTGAAATACTGGCTCATTTACTAGCTTTATTACCATGGGCAAATGTTTCAGAGTTTCAGTTTCTTCCTTTGTAAAATGAAGATAATGTTTTTAAGTGCTTTTGAGTTGTTTCCAACTCATAGTGACCCAGTACAGGTTTTCTGAGGTTTATAGATCTTTGTGAGAGCAGAAAGCTTCATCTTGCTTACCTATTATAGATAAGGAGCCCTGGTGACACTGTGGGGTAGGCTTTGGGCTGCTAACTACAAGATCAGTTCAAACCCATCAGCTGCTTCATGGTGAAAGATGAGGCTGTCTGCTCCTTTAAATATTTACAGTCCTGGAAACAGTATATAAGGGTCAAATTTGACTTGATGGTAGTGGGTTTTTTGTTGGTTTGTTTAGTTGGGGGATTTTTTTTGTTGTTGTTTTTAATTTCGTTGTTGCTATGTGCCATCAGTGGGTTCTGACTCATAGTGACACTATGTCGGGTTTCCAAGGAGTAGCCTGGTGGGTTTGAACTGCCAACCTTTTGGTTTGAAATCCAGTGCTGACCCTACAGCGCCACTCCAGGAGTCCCTTTATCTCTTAGATGGGTAATTATGAAGATAAAATATTACAACACATTCAGATTACTTAGAAAGGTGCTCAGTAAGTGTTAACTGGCAGGATGTTGATGATTCTAACAAGATAAACAAATGAATTAGCACCCAATAACCCTGGTGTGATGGTGTGGGTTAATGTGCTGGGCTGCAAGGTTTAGCGGTTCAAACTCACAAGCTGCTCCTTGGAAACCCTGTACAGGATCGCTATTGTTCGGAACCCACTTGAGTACTTAACAACAACCCAGTGGTTCTGTAGGATATACAGTGACTGCTAACTGAAAGGTTGTCGCAGTTCAAATCCACCAGACACTCTGTAGGAGAAAGAGGAACCTTTCTGTTCCCATAAAAAATTTAAAGTCTCAGAAACCCTATACAGGGTCACTATGAGTTGGAATCAACTTGATGGCAGTGGGTCTGTTTGTTTTTTTAACTTTGAACCCCACCACTCATCTGTCAGTTTGTTGAACTTTTGGGGCCTTGCATATTGCTCTGATATTGGAAGCTTTCAGAGGCGCTTACAGACTAAGACAGACTAGGGAGATGGGAGAGGCAGTCCATTTCTTAAAAATTAGCCACTGAAAAGTAAATTATCAGCCGAACATTGTGTGATATTGTGCTGGAAGATGTGGCCCTCAGATTTGAACCAAACCCCAAACCCAATCCACTGCCATCAAGTCAATTCCAATTCATAGCAACCCTATGGGACAGAATGTATCAGAACCGACTTGACGGCTCTTAACAACAACAGCAGCATAGGGTTTCCAAGATTGTAAACCAGTACAGGAACAAACAGCCTCATCTTTCTCCCACGAAGTAGCTGGTGGATTTGAACCACCAATCTTGTAGTAAACTGCCAAATGCTTACCCCATAGTGCCACCAAGACACCTTTCAAGTTGGAAGGCACTCTAAATGCAACTGGGAAACAACGCCTCCTCAAAGTGGTAGGTGGTGGTAGTTGTGTGCCATCGAGTCGGTTTTGACTCATAGAGACCCTGTATAGGATTTCTGAGGTTGTAAATCTTTATGGGAGCAGAAAGCCTCATTTGTTCCCCATGAAGCGGCTATTGGACTTGAACTGCTGACATTATGGTTAGCAGCCCCAGTGCATAACCCACTGCACCACTCAAGCTCCCTCCTCCTCAAAGTAGAATCAACCTTAATGACATAGATGGAACAAAGCTTTTACGCTTCATTTGTTGTGGTGGTATGCCTCAAAATGAGAAGAAACAGCTGCAAGTATTCATTAATAATCAGAACATGGAATATACCAAGTATGAATCTAGGAAAATTTGAAGTCATCAAAAGTTAAATGGAACACACAAAAAATCGATAACCTAGGCATTACTGAGCTGAAATGGACTGATACTGGTCATTTAAAATCAGACAGTCATATGGTCTACTTTGCCAGGAATAACAAATTGAAGATCGTGGCATCACATTAATTGTCCAAAGAACATTTCAAGATCTATCCTGAAATACAGTGCTGTTGATGATAGGATAACATCCATACATCTGTAAGAAGTAACAGTTATATACAACTATATTCAAATTTACACATCAGTCACTAATGCTAAAGATAAAGACATTGAAGATTTTGATAAACTTTTGAAATCTGAAATTGATCAAACCTGCAGTCAAGATGTATTGGTAACTACTGGTGATTAGAATGTAAAAATTGGAAACAAAAAGAGGGATAAACATTTGGAAAATATGGCCTTGATGATAGAAATAACAATAGAGATCACATGATAAGACCATGTTTATTTCAAAAACTGTTTTTCATTAATATAATCCATGACTATACACGTGGACCTCACTAGATGAAATACACAGGAATAGACTATATCTGGGGAAAGAAATGATAGAGAAACTCAGTGTCATCAGTCATAACAAGGCCAGGGGCCAACTGTGGAACAGACCATCAATGCAAATTCAAGTTGAAGCTGAAGAAAATAAAAAGCAGCTTCAAGAGAGCCAAAATATGACCTTAAGTATATCCCACCTGGATTTAGAGACCATCTCAAGAATAAATTTAATACATTGAGCACTAATGACCAAAGACCACAAAAGTGGATGACATTGAGGACATCATACATGAAGAAAGCAAAAGATCATTAAAAAGACTGGAAAGAAAGAAACTACCAAAATGAATGGCAGAGAGACTCAGAAATTTGCTCATGAACATAGAGTAGCTAAAGCAACTGCAAGAAATGATGATGTAAAAGAGCTGAATGAAATTTTCAAAGAAAGACTCTAGAAGACAAAGTAAAGTATATAATGAAATATGCAAAGATTGAGAGTTATAAAAACAAAGGAAAGAACACGTTCAGCGTTTCTCAAGCTGAGAGAACTAAAGAAAAAATTCAAACCTCAACTTGCAATTTGAAGGATTCTCTGGGCAAAATATTGAACAATGCAGGGAGCATCAAAA